AATGAAGATGATCTTGTGAGTGTAAATCTTGGGATACATGGTCTGGAGAAACAAAATGCCGATACAATTCCAAATGTGCATGTTTCTGGTAAACATGCACAGAATGTGCACAGACAAAGATTATCAGGAAATTACAGTTCTACTCCAAATATAAACACTTCAGGGTTTATAAATGTCTCTAGAATAGTAGCTAAAAGATCTTTTGTGAAGGATCCTGGTCCCTCAATGCAAGCCTCACCCTTCTCTCTTTTGGATCATCAAATAGTGGAACTGGATCCCTCTAGTATTGATAGAGGAGGCTTTACTCAATAATGCACTTGGCCATATGAACATTAGAGGATTCAACAAATCCTCTAAACATGTAGTAGTTAAGCATTTTATTCAGGAATATAAGCTCTCTTTTCTTGCTCTTTTGGAAACAAATGTTGCTGAAGGAAGAATGCAAAATATTGCCAGGAAGATTTCAAAAAACTGGGAATAGATATCAAATGTTCATGAAGCAAATAATGGTAGAATTTGGATTCTTTGGGATAATGATTTTCTCACTATTAAGTGTATGAAGTCAACAAAACAATACATGACTTGTGAAGTGCAATCTAGAGATGATGAATTGTCTTGCCTAATCACAATTGTATATGCTCTAAATCATCAGGAAGGCATGAAAATGCTCTGGGAAGATCTCCTGGCATTCAATAATAATGTAAATAGACCATGGCTGATTGGTGGTGATTTCAATGCTATAATGGATAGTGAAGAGAAAATTAGTGGTGCACCGATCACAGCTACTGATGCTGAGGAGTTGAAAAGCTTTATTAATTCAAATCAACTAATGCACATTAAAACTACAGGGTGTTTCTTCACCTAGAATAACAAACAAGAGGCGGATGCAAGGATATGCATGCCTGATAGGGTGGTAGTGAATGAAGATTGGATCCAACTTTATAATTCCAGTCAAATGAAATTTCTTATGCCTTCATGTTCTGATCACTCTCCTGCTTTGTTAACTGTGGGAAATGAAAATTTGAGGGCAAGAGATCCTTCAAATTTTTTAATATGTGGACATAGCATCCATATTTTATTTCAGCAGTAAAAGCAGTATGGGATAAATATATATATATGGATATAACTTGTACAGGCCTCACTCAAAACTCAAAAAGTTAAATCTATTCTAAAGGATCTGAACAAAAAGCATTTTATGAACATAAGTGAGCAAGTCTCAAGAGCCAAAGCAGAGTTAGATGATATCCAATGTCAGCTAAACATCAATCTTTAAGATCCTGTGCCGATCTCAAAGGAGAAAGAATGTATGAAAAAAATACACAAAACTGGTGGAATGTGAAGTCTCCTTTTACAGACAAAAAGCAAAAAGCTGAGAAGGAGTTTGAGCTAGCCCAGTTGGAGCAGGGAGATATGACTGTAGCTGATTATAAGAGAAAGTTTGTGGGTTTGCTCAGGTTCACGGGTATGTGGCAGACTAGGAAGCGTCAGGCTCAGATGTTCTTGATGAGACTTCGCTCGAGCTTACATCACTATTTAGTATCTCAACGATTTCATTCAGTATGGGAGGTAGCTGATACCGCTATAGTATAGCAGACAGAGACAGCCATGTTTCAGAAGGGCAAGGAAGGGAATTCTAAAGCAGGACAATCCGAAGACAAGGGAAAGGGAAAGTGACCATTTTAGGACCCGGAGGACCCCAGCAGCAGGGCAAGGGTTCCCAACAGCAAGGCCCGCTTAAGAAGGGACTACAACATGATCAGAGGGTGTAGCAGCAACGCAAGTTTTAGGGTACTTATTTTTACTGCCACAAGTTTGGACACAGAGCTGCAGAGTGCCATAGCACACTAGCAGAAGGCCAACAGGGTAAGAATCAGGTTCAGCATTAGCAGAATTGTGGACATGGCTGAGGTTAGGGCCAGCAGCTGAGGCTTGAGACACCGCCAGCAGTTCTGAGGATAGAGGGTTAGGTGCGACCTATCCAAGTACGAGCTATCCAGGAGATTCCTCAGGGACATATAGTCTCGTATACCATAGAGCCTTTGACACAATAGTTCGCAGCTTCAGGCAGGGTGTATGCAGTCATACCACGCGATCATGGTGCGAACATGGCCATTATGGAAGGTACATTCCTAGTGAACTCCTTCCTAGTCCGTAATCTTTTTGTTTCATGAGCTTCGAATCCTTTCATCTCCTATACTTTCATGACTAGACTCCAGCTTGTAGCATAGCCTCTAGATATTCCTTTGTCACTTTCCACCCCTTTAGGTGATGTGTCGCTCTTGGAGAGTATCTGTAGGAGATGCATTATCAGCTTAGACGAGTCTGAGTTCATGGTTGATTTGATCGTTCTGCGCATGTTCGAGTTTGATATGATTCTTAGTATGGATTAGTTATCTTCCTACCATGTTAGTTTCGACTATTTTGCAAAGACAGTCAGCTTGCGAGCATTCAATGGATTTGAGATGGTTGTAGCAACCTCATGGGGTAACCAGTTTGCGGAGTCATTTCTGGCATACGTCGAGGAGGTGATGATGCGGGATCGGGGTGCCGATTTGAGTGAGACACGAGTAGTCTCAGAGTATCAGGATGGTTTTCAGGACATATCTAGATTGCCTCCAGTAAGAGAGCTTGGATTTACCACCTCTCTCTAGACTTTACTACTAACGCCACTCCTCTAAAAATTGAACCCGTCTCTCACCAACCACTCCTCTAAAAATTGAACCCGTCTCTTCACATAAACAAACTTGAAAACCTCTTTAAAACTGAGAAAACAAACTCTTGAAGACTTGGTTAAAATCTCTTAAAAAACAATTGAGAGATGAGAGGTATTTATAGCCTCTCAAAAAGAAAAACAGAATATAGCCATTACAGTGCCGTCGGTCGACTAATACACTGACCAATCGACTGATGAGCCGACCGTTAGCTAATTCTGGGAAACTATCGGTCGACTGATGCAAACAATCGGTCGACTGATGCAAACAATCGGTCGACTGAGAAGCTGCTTTGATCGACTGATAATGATCAATTGATTGAGCAGAAACAAAATAGAAATTGCAGAGGAGATTTTCGGTCGACTGATCAATGCCATCGGTGGACTGAAAAACATACACAACTCATTTTTGCATAGTAAAACTGGTTTTCAAAGTGAGTTTAAAAAAAGCAAATAAATTTCAAAAATTATGAAACTTAGGAAAATGTTTATATATATGAATATAAATATGTTAGAGAAGAAATTTTTGAAATATCATATTCCGTTTGTGAAAACTCATCATTTTGCAAAATCTTAAAAATACGAGTTTGTTTAAAACACTTGATTTTAACAAAATGATTTCAACCAAGTTTAGAAATCTTTTTGAATGGATTAATGGACTTAGAAAAAGATGTAAAACTAACTCAGTATGTCAATAATCCAAATATACGATATTTTCTCAAAAATGACTCTTAATATGATAAAACAAAACATGACGTGTCTGCATAAGTATTGAGCTTAAAGTATAAACACACCAAGTATAATTTCTAAAACTAACATACCCAAGTTGATGTGCATGAAGCTTGATCTGACTCTTTTACTTGAATTGCGTCGGCTTCACCGTTGCGGCACAAATATTTTTAACCTAGAGAAAATAAAAATACTGAAAAACACAATTATAAATTGTTTGTTAACCATCAAAACTAGATTAGAGAGTAGGCTCATAAACATGAGTCCTAACAGATCAGACTAGAGTGGAAAGCGATCAGAGGCTGCGATAGTGACAGGTAAGACTGCCAGCTAGGAATGTTTCTGTGACTAAATTTGATTTGAGAATGTAGGATTTGGAATTGATTTAGGAATCACTACAAGAAATTACATCTTTAACGAAGGGATTTCCCTTCGTTAAAGCACTGAAAACCTTCGTTATTGTATGCTAACGACGGGGAAAAATCCCTTCGTCACCCGTCGTTGAAGCCCTCTTCGCTAAAGGGTCACGAAGGGATATACTACCCGTCGTTATAGAGTCTATAACGACGGAACATATTACCGTCATTAATATTTACGACGGTAATTATCACCGTCGTTACCATCAGTAACGAGGATATTTTCTCGTCGTTACCATCAGTGACGGGATATTTTCCCGTCGTTACCATTAGTTACGGAGATATTTTCCCGTCGTTACCATTAGTTACGGGGATATTTTCCCATCGCTGAAGACTAATTAATGACGGTTGGATACCGTCGTAAAAGTCCTCATAATGGGTAATTAGTAACCCATCAACGACGGTGCTTTCCCTTCGTTGATGAACAAAATACGGTTTATAAAACCATCATTGTAGACTACAAATTTCTAATATACATTAATAATAAATTTTCCATTCATAGGCAACTATCATATTATTCTCAACCAGACACTAAGATTCACAACAAAAATATATTAAAAATACCCAATAATGAATAAGAGGTAAAATAAAAATTCCATTCATTAATAACATCAATAAATAAAATTCCACCATCCTCAAATATTCAATACTAATAATAAGAGTTAATATTCTTATTGTTCCAAAGAAAAATATAAAAATATATGAAACTATCTAAAACAAATTAAAATAAAAGTTTGGGGAAGACACGTTCTTTCATCTCTAATCATCGTCAAAAGAAGACTCGAGCTACCCCCTCCTAATCTTGCATGGATAGCCTGAAAAATTTTAAAAAAAATCACATAATTAAGAAATATCAATTAAGCAAATATTATCTTATTAAGTAAAAATCATATTTTTTAGTGCAAGTAGTCAATCATAAAAGTATATAAGAGATTTACAAAAATTAATTACCTAGTCCTGCACACGTTCTCGAGTTTGAGGAGTCAATGAAGGTGATTGCCTAAAAAAAAGTTCTTGCATAGCTTTCACTTGTGACTCCAACTCAGACATCCTTTGTTGTTATGTTGTTGCTCCTGCTCATCTAAGCGTTGTTGAAGCATCTGGTTCTTTCTCTTTTCTTCTATAACCCGTGCTTCTAGATCAGATCAACTAGGGAACGGTCCTCTCAAATCTTTTAAAGTAGTCCCGCCACCAAATACAGTGATGTGACCATGAGATTGCTTCCCCCAGATTTTCTCAACTATCTCAATGTCAGAAAGTGAAGGGTTTGCTTGTTTGACTTGAACAATTTCATCCTATAAAAATTAAATTCATATGTTAGTACTATATAATGCATCATTATCAAACTTAAACACATATTCTACTTACATATTTATCTTGATCCCCATTTTCTAGTGTTTCATTAGCTTTCTTTCGAGTTTCATGAAACATTTTTGCCACATCAGGTGGATTTCCTGACTTGCCACCCTTATTCAAATATTAAATAAAAATGAGTACAATATCAAACTAAAAAACAAAGTAGTTTTAAATAAATAGGAAATTAGTTACCAATTCCCACGCAATTTGTCTGAAGGGTTTGCTGCCCGTGTGGTGGAGCATCTTTCTTTTGCCTCTGTTAAGTGTATTTTGTTGGCTTGCTTTCTATACATCAAGATTAAAAGATAATTTTAACAATCCAACAATATACATGAAAGAAATTAATTAATAAAATTAGGAGATTAATACCTGGAATTTTGAAGAAAAATAATGTTCCTTAACTAGCCAATCCCAGTCATCAACACTCACTTCTGTAGGTTTATTTCTAAGTGCAACTTGCAATGAATTTTCTTTCACATATTTCCTGTGCATGTCACCACGCCACTTATTCCACAAATCGCGCAAGTGTCTCATTACTGACTCTCTCTTTTGCTCCATGTCATCAGCATCAAATTTATCCTATATCAAATTTGAATCAAAATTTAATTTATAAGAATTAAAAACCAAATGCATTTAATTAATTTTCAATGTACCTTAATGGATGCCCACATATGATCTTTATTTTGCTGTGGTATTTTGGCCCAATTCTCAACAGCTACTGGGCAAATATTTCTATCTCGAATAATAATTCCAAGATATCGTGAAAATTCTGGTTCAATAGCTCTATTCTGATAAAAAGTAATGATTTTTTTCTCCCCATGTGACAAATTATTCAACTTTAGACACTTATTACTACCACGAGGTGGATTTTTCTTCCTTTGAGAATTATCAGCTGCATACATCATATCATATGTTAGAAACAAGATATAGTTAAAGAAATTGATAAAAATATTTCTTCTTGTAATTAATAAAGAATATACCTTCTTGTCGAGATTCATTTAGTATTGCATCATCACTTTGCACTCGATGATTATCTGATTCTACAAAAATTGAGAAACTATTAATCCAATCATAAAAAATAAATTGAAAGATAAAAAGAAATAATAATAAATTTTAAGTCTCATCAATATTAATCCAATCATAAAAAATAAATTGAAAGATAAAAAGAAATAATAATAAATTTTAAGTCTCATCAATCTGCAGAATCATCATTCTCTTCATTGTTAGTATTTGCACTTCTCCTGCGATTTTGTGCAAAATTCTCCTCAAAGGTTTCTCGGAGTCACCTAAAAGACTGTAGAATTGTTTTGCATGTCCATCTGGTTCCTGCTCAAGAATATCCTGACTCGACGTGGCATCAGGTGCAACAACGCCAGTTGAATTATGAAATAAATCTCCAATCATTTCTTGCATTTCATCGTCACTCTGGCTTTCTTCTGTCATTTCTTCTTGTTCTTCATCAAACTCCGAAATGGACTCACCCTGTCTTTCGTCGTGATGACACCAAAATCTGTAGTTTTTAATAATTCCATGAACAATCAAGTGGGTCTTTACCAACTCACGATTACCAGACTTCACATTGCTGCATTTAATACATGGACATCGAATTTCAAAGTCTTCATCCTTTTCATTAAAACTATCCAACAGCTTCTCATATGCATAGTCTAAAAACTGATCAACCCCTTCTTTATATTTTGGATCAAGTCTATCATCATCTACTAGGTCCATCCAATCTTTATTTGGTGCCATTTCCAAGCAATGTACTAATGCTGGATATTCGACTCTATAAAACAAAAAAACAATATAATTAGTTTATAATTAGATTGTGGTTTAATAAATATCGACTATATTTTATTTGTACAAACAAGCATTGTATATATTTGCAAATATCCCCTCCAAAGCATCATTTTACTAATTTGCCCTCTAAATTGTCTTTTCCATTTAAGCTTATGTCTCAATTTGAACGAATATTTAATGACCAAGCAAATCCAAAACACATTTAGTTAATTTCAATTTGTTTATGAACTGAATAACTAATAGCTATGCATTTACTGTCAAATGAGATAGCGAATCAAATATGATCGAATAGCTGAATGAATAATAAGTAAACTGTTTATTGATTAATTGGTTCACTTTCATCTTTATTATCCTATCCGATGTAGGATTATACTCACATATTAATAACCACAACACTCCCACTTGTAAAGCATAATTATTAGTAAAATTTATATTACGAAACTAAACCATATTTTTTATTAAATTGATAAATATATATGGCATGAAATCAGCCAAGGGTTGTTACATTTAGGCCCGTATCTCAAGTGTGCTTTATTTGAGGGTCAAACTTTAGTCCAGCCCAGAGAAAGAGGGTTCGTTTAATGACCAAATAAATATTAATTATTCCTGCACTAGAAAAGTTAATATTAATATCGATAATGGCTTCTGAAACACCCGAAAAATTCTGTGGCTAAACTTGGGGAGTTCAAGCGCACAAAGAACTCCCCGGTTTTAGGGAAAAGTTTCACATAAAGAATTATAAACTGTTAAAATTATATGAATCTTTGGTTATGTGCTAAAACTTTGTATTGATTATTTTTGAAACTAGGCTAATTTGAGTCTTTGTAATGCTTGTTTGATTTCTTCTCACTTGAAAACTACATGATCCCTTAATCATTTAATTCCAGATTTGTCAATTCAATGCAACATGTTTAAGTTGATTCAAATTGTTACGCTGTAATCCTTTTTTTTTCCTTTCCAAACTTCATGGCAACAAATGAATGTGATTGTGGTCAATCTGCTGCTTCTAGAGTGTCATAGTAATTGTAGAATATCAATTAAAGTAGCTCTTCCAAATTAAAGCTCTAGAAGTAGCATCAAGTCTATCTACAGAAACCCTAGCTGTCTACATAAACCTTCTCTTAGGTGCTTTTAGAACAAGAGAAGAGATTTAATATGTTGTCAATAATAGAATGTAACACCGCAATGAACAAACAATGTTCATTGGAAGAGCTTGATAGCTGGCCTGAGACAAAAATTTCATTATTTTCTAATTTTTTAGATAACTAGTGAGGAAAAATTCTGTGTGGATATGTTTCATATTATTGGCAGGGAATTAAAATGCAGAATAAGCAATGGTCACCTTCCTCAATTACTCTCTTCATAAGGAATCAATTATAGAATTTCAAATACAAAATAAAAGACTATCCCTTAACAAAAACCTAATGAATTTACAAGAACTACAAATAAGCCCAAAAAATAGGGATGAACCGTTATTTACCTGAGGAATTGATGCTAGAGGGAGAGGAAGTGGATGAGTTATTGCCACTGCCGGGGTTGCCGAGAATATGGGGGGGAGGGGGCGGGGGTTGGTTGTCGTCAAGAAAGAGGAAGAGGAGGCGGATGAGGTCTTGCTGCTACCGTGGTAAGAAGAAGGGGGAGATGATGTTACTGTTGAGAAACAGGAGAGGATGCGGATGAGGGTCACGTTGCGGTTGCCGAGAAGAGGAGGCTGTTGGTAATATTGCCGTCGAGAAAGATGAACTGATGAAGAGGAGGAGCGCTATTTCCTAGAGTTTTTGCGTGATGTATTAGAGAGATAGAGAATTACATATATGTGAGAACTTGTCATATATAACTCCTCAATTATATTAATTAGATTTATTCTCCTATTAGGACTAGGTTTCATCTTTAAGGATGGTTAATAGGTCCATCGTTTTCAAGACTCCTCATCAACAAAGGTAGTAAGACCTAATCATCGAAGGGTCTAAATAACCGTTGTTTATCCTTATTTAACTCTCTTAATATTTATAAAAAGCTCAATGAAGGTGTGAGAAACCGTCATTATTGTATATATAATAACAATGGTTAAATAGTCCCTTCGTTAATTTTGGTCGTTAAAGACCCGATTTCTTGTAGTGAATTGAATGTGAGGATTGAATCTAGAGCTATGACATCATGTTAATTTGGTAGTGAAGAGAGAGAATTGTTATTTGGCTAAGTTACAAGTATATACACACAAATTTACACAATATAACATGAGCTGAGGGTAGGTGGACACTGTAGCTATAGGCCGATGGGCGGAGGACACTATACGTATGAGTATGACTATCCATGCACCTGCTATGCATGTACGTAGCATTAAAAATATATAAAAACATCAGTATCACAACTAATATTATTAAAAAAAGTTATTTTTTATATTGCCACGAAATAAAAATATTTGGTCAATAACTGTATTGCTACATAAATATTTCTCCCATTACAAATTCGAATTATCCTAAAGAGAAAAATAAAAGACCATCTATTGAAATCAAAGTTTACCACTGCCCATATCTATTACTATCCCTTCATGCATGAATTTTATGTAGCTTGCCCATTCTATCCTCCTCCTCTAGCATTGCCACCATTAGCACCACCTTCATAGCTTTGTGTCAATGTGTTCATCATAAAAAACATCAAAAGAGGCACGTAATTACTTCCTCATGACATATTTTGAATCTTAAATTCAAATTAATTGTATAAAATACAATACAAGAAAAAGGAATCTAAAAGAAGAGAACTTTATTTTAATATATGAATGCGGGTGACGGTATCTTTGTCCTAGCAAGTAAAGTATCAAAGAGGACAAAGGAGTATGCAGCAAAACAAACAAGCCAATCCTATACAGAGAGACTACAAACTTAACCATGATCTAACAGAGATCATTATATACCCACTTGTGCTTCAAATTTTTCTGTAAGTAGAAATAATTTTGAATAGAATTACGTGATCCTTTTAAAGAAAGAAGTGCATATTGCATTAGCAGCATTTCCCATTTAGCAGATGAAATGGACAGCTAAAAGAAGAAAACAAATTCAGGCAACTGAATTTGGAACGGAAGCATTGTTGTTGTGACAATGATGCCGATGAACTGGCTAGGTAGAGAAGTAAATCGTATAATCAATTATCCAGAAAAAATTGGCTTGGACAAACTTTTTCCTATTTTGAGTCTAGTTTATGTAACTCTGTTTATTTCAGGAAAAGATTAAGCTGATATCATGTGTATATATAAAAGATTAATCAATTAAGTTATTGGGTCATTAGACCCATGGTGTTATCATTCAACAGCTTGATGATTAATGTTTCTATCTTACTAGAAGCCCCAAGAAAAATGGTTTTCTTAATATGCTTAGGTAAGTTACCAATTGATCCTGAAGAACATAACGTCAATCACTTTATTTCTATGTTTCTCTATGAGCAACCAAATTTGCTTACATTGAAACTGAAGAATCTGCTATGAAACTTTAAATAAAATAAATAAGCTATCAATTTATTCAAATAAAACAACTTTTTATTTTTGCGCGTACCGACGAAGACCAGGGGACCACCGTTAACGAAGAAACGTTACTTAATTCCGCAGATACATAGTTGTTCACATAATAGATGTTGCCATCGAGGCCTAATTTGCTCAAATAGTTTTAGGCTGCGTTTGGAAACTTAGATTTGGGTCCTGGATTTAAAATTCAGGGTATTTCAAATCCAAATCTCTAGTTTGGGCTTTCAATTGAGCTAAAATTTCAAATCAAGTTATTTCAAAGAGGAGAATTTTAAGTCTAAATACAGGTATTTCAAATCCCACCCTGCTCTTTGGTATTTACCAAATCCCGATCCCTAACTCCCGACTCCTCCTCTCTCATTTTTCAATCCCGATCCCCGATCCCGACTCTCAAGTTCCCTCTCAACGCCTCTCTCTCCTCTCTCCCCTTCTCCTCTCTCGTCGAAACTCTAGATTTGATCTAGGGTTTAGGTCTCCCTCTTTCTCCTCTCTCGTCGAAACCCTAGATCCGGCGGCCCGATGATTCCGACCGTCCGATATCTCCCCCTCGTCGCGTGCTCCCTCTTCGTCATCGCAAATTGTTAACTATGTGTATATGTCACAAATTGTTCAAAAAATAGTCCTCCTTATCTTTGAAATCCAAGTTCATGTATAATAAAGTGTATCCAAACACTATACTTCAAATCTTTGATTTCAAATCCTTGCATTTTATAAAGACATCCAAACAAAAGATTCTATCAAATCATGAATTTAAATTCTAGATTTAAAATCCTTTAATTTTAAATCAATATTTCAAATCCAAATCTTAGTTCCAAAACGCAGCCTTAAAGAAACTATAATAATGTACACATTGATTACAAAACGATAGAAGCTGCTGGCGAACTGAACAAATGCCCTTGGGTTCCCAACAATCGGCATGATCACAAATGCAGCAAAGTGAGTACTTGGGAACGGTGTTATACCTATTTCGGTAGTGTTTTTTTAAGCTGTCTATAGTGGCTGTTACAACAGCGAGGGACTTTACAGAACAGAAGATATTTGTACAAGGTGGATAATAACATAGTAGTGAATAAACATAGTAGAGACAAAGAGAACAACACATAAGGATTTAACGTGGTTCGGCCAGTATGACATGCATTCATGGCCGAACATAGTAGAGGAATTTACTAATCACAAATGAGAAGATTATAAATGAGATCACCCTCTCTTTTCACTTAAATCCCACCAAAGAGTCACATAATGAAAGAAAAATAAATTTCTCTCTCTTCCTATCTTACCTCCTCTCTTTCTTTTTTTTGTTTGAGGTACACTTTCATCATGCATCTTGAGGCAATTTATAGCCTCTCAACACGATGGGGGAATATTAAGTCTTCGTCGGTGAATAGATGACTAGTGGCTAATGCATAGGTTTTGAGAAAAACTCCAATAGATGCAT